TCAAATAAATTTCAGGTATAGCAGCTAGTGTAGAACCTTCAGGCGGACTACTTAAATTAGACAATCTAAAGTTGTACGTGTAGCTAGTTGTACTCTCACATATGTAATCATTGCTCAAAAACTATTATACCAATAAAAATCTCGCCTATGGCATGTTGTATCAAGTAAAAAAAAAAAAAAAAAAAAAAAAAAAAAAAATATTGAAATCTTCAGAATTCTAGTTTTTAAAATAGAGTAACTATACAATTTAAATTTTTAACTGATATTGTAGATACTATTATTAAAAACAATGTTAGTATAGATTTTTAATTTTAAGGTTTTGGTTGATATTGTTTAATTGTTAAATTAGAAATTTAAGTCATAAAGTTCAACTATGCCCTAATAGATCGTCTCATTGAGTTGCTACCTTAATCATTGTTTTCAAACTATATTGAACTTATTTGTGTTAAAGAATCTTAAGAGAACTTAAAGAATATAATGTAAATGCATCAAATAAATAAAACTAATTTATGATAAATTCTGTATTAAGTATTTGTTATAGAAAGTATATAGAGTATTACTTCTAAGAATGTAATAGTTATAGTTAGTTCTAATAGTTTTAATTATTAATAAAGATAATATTCAACTACTCTTCTAATATAAACTTGGCATAAGTCTCTTCCTCTAGCTGTAATATTCATACAATCACTTGAACAATTATTTGATTGTTATCTAGTTTACGATTTTTATATAAATTTAATAAAGCATGAAAAATTTATTTAAAATAATTCTTATCCTTATACAATATAAGCTAAAATCTTTTAACTAGCTTTGTTATTATATTAATTCTAATAATAATCAGTTTTTTCTTTATCAAAAATATCAAACAGTTTTATATTTCTTTTTAGAAATAGCATAGATACTAATAACTCAGGTTTTAAGCAAGTATGACAAGCAGATAAATGGAGACCAGTATCAGAAAATAGCCTTTTACTTAGTATAGATGTAGCAGGAATTGCTAAATACTTTATTACCAATCTAGACAAAACTAGCAAAATATTAATATGATCTTTCTATCATTCTAGTACATTATGATTCAGAGATACTTTTAGTAAAGCTAAGTATTGAACAACTTTATTAAAAATACTACTTTTATTATCTGAATCTTCATATATTCTGAGTAAAAAATAATTAACTTGATTAGTACTAGTATTTGAAGGTTCATTTATGACTAATAATTCAGATGAGCTAATATATAAATTATCATTTGATTCTTCAATAATAGTAGCTTGCTCAATTCGATACAATTCATTTAGTTTATCAATTGCTATATTACATTAAGCTTTTGTTATAAATTTAAGCTTTTTGTATTGAGGATCTAACAATACTTAAAGTAAAGTAGTCTTTTTTAGACAATCTCAATATTGACATATAGTTAAGTAGATAGTAGCTTTGCTTTTCTCTAAAATACTTATAGTAAAAGTAGATAAACTTATAGTATGACAGTTCTTGAAATATGATCATTGATTACTAGTTATAACTTTATTATTAGTATCTTCATCTTGGCTTGCAACTTCATCTAATTCATTATTTAATAAATTTGTATAATATTTATTATCTTCGTCTTTAGATAGAGCTATAGTTTTTTTAAAGTAGTGCATTGTATAACAGACTATATTAAGAGTAGCATACATAATGCTTAATAACATTTTGGTTACTTTATAAAAAGGAGCTAACAAAGCTAATACGTCAGAAAGTAGACTATAATAATCGATATAATTTAGTTACTAAATATTATATATAATTAAATTAAATATATATTTACAAATATTTTATTTATATAATTGTTTATTTTATAACATATAACAAATCCAGTTACAGTAACACCAACCTGGCTTGGCGGCTAACTGGATTGGGAGGATCTGCCTCGTGAAACATCCAGAGAAGATAGATACGGAAAACTGGTGGATAGCTTACGGAAGAAA